TTCCTCTAACAGCTCCCTGAACTCCCCTTGAAACTCTGTGCCTTGATCGGTGAGCACCTCTGCACACGCCCCGAATCTGCATACTACTTGCTCCTTGAATGCTGTTGCCACGTGTCTTGAGCTCTTGCTGGGGATGGCCCTCACCTCCAGCCACTTGCTCACGTGCTCCACCATGAGCACTATGTACCTTTTCCCCCCCCGGCTCAGCGGCAGTTCCCCCGCCAGGTCCAAGGACCATCTGAAGCCTAACCCACGGATGGGCAGGGACTGCAGCTCGGCCTTGGCTTGGGTCAGGTTTGCTCGGCTCCTTTGGCAGGCCTCGCATCCCTCCACCCACTTCTGCACCTGCCTGCGCATTCCCTCCCACCACCAGCCCGTCTTCAACAACTGCACTGTCCTCTCATGCCCGAAGTGCCCCAGCCTTGAGTGTACCTCCTTTATCACTGCTTCCCTGTCACCTGGGGCCGGCACCAGCTTCCACCCACCCTCGGTCTGTATCTGCAACTGCTGCTGGTACCACCTGTAGTGGTGCCCCCTTGCTCTCACCCTCTCGCTCATCTCCTCGTCTGCCCCTGTCTCTCCCTTCACCCATCTCACAGCCTGCTCATCCTCCCAGATATCAGCCGGCCCCTTGCTCCTCCTGGCCCCGGTCAGCTCCACCTGTCTGGCCAGCAGCGCAAGGGTCACTGCTGGCTCTAGCGGTGGGGGGTTACAGGAGAGGCCGTCCACATGCTGCAAGGTTTTTCCTGGCCTGTGCTTGATTTTGAAGTCATACTCCTGCAGCTTCATTGCCCATCGTGCATTCCTGCCTGTTAACCCTGGTGTCGTCATCAGCCATGTCAGTGGCTGGTGGTCCGTCACCAGGGTGAACTCCCACCCCTGCAAGTAGACCCTGAAGTGCCCCACAGCCCATACTGCCGCTAGTCCCTCCCCTGTGTACGAGCTGTACTGTGCCTCCGCCGAGTTGCAGCTCCTACTCGCGTAGGCCACCACCTTCTCATCCCCTTCCACCTCCTGGCAGAGTATCCCGCCCATCCCTTGGCTGCTCCAGTCGGTGTAGAGGGTGAAGGGTTGGTCCGCTGCTGGCAGCTGCAAGACGGTTGCCGTTTTCACCGCCGCCATCAGGTCCTGCAATGCCTCCCTCTGCGCTTCCCCCCACTCCCATGTCCTGTCCTCCCTTAACAGTCCGTTCAACACCGCTGCCCGCCTGCTGAAGTTGGGCACAAATCTCCGGTAGTAACTCAAAAACCCCAACACCGCTCTCAGCCCTGTCTTGTCCTTTGGTTCTCGCAGCCTATCCAGCACCTCCACCTTTGCTTGCTGGATCCCGATCTGCCCCCCTCTCACCTCGTAGCCCAGATACTGAACGGTCTGCTCACCCCACCTACACTTCTTCGGGTGACACGTGAGTCCCGCCGCTTCTATTGCTGCCAGTGTCTTCTCCACATCTTGCAGGTGCTGCTGTTCGGAGGTGCTGAAGATCACCACGTCATCTATGTAGCACGCTGCACATTCTACGTCCCTTAGCACTGCATCCATGACTCTCTGAAACACTGCTGATGCGTTCCTCAGCCCGAATGGCATGTAAAGCCACTCGTACAGCCCATCCGGCCCGTGAAATGCCGTCTTCCTAACGTCCTCCTCCCTGATTTTTATCTGATTGAACCCCTGCCGCAGGTCTAGCGTCGTGAAGAACACCCCCTCTGCTAACTTGTCAAATATCTCCTCCGCCATCGGCATTGGGTACCTGTCCGCCACGGTAATCTTGTTGAGCGCTCGGTAATCTCCGCACATCCTCCTGCTCAGGATCTCTCCTGTTAAGTCCTTCCTCGCTGCCACCACTGTTGGGGTGGCGTATTCTGATTCTGAGCGCCGGATCAGTCCGGCCGCCAATAGCTCCTTAATCTTCTCCTTGCATATCTCTTCATCTCCGTGCGGCATCTTCCTACGCCGTTGGAACACCGGCTCCGTGCTGCTCAGTTTCAGCTCCATCTCCTTCACTTTGCACCTTCCCAGTTCCTGCAATGTGAAGGCAAAGCACTTCCTGTGCTTGGCCAGCAGTCCCCGCATAGCTTCTCTCCCTTCTTCACTCATCGCTTCCCCCACTGTCCACTTCTCTCCCTCCTCCTCCTGGCAGGTCCACGCTCCTTGTGGGGCTGCTGCTGCCGCCACCTTATCTGCCTCTTGCCCCCCACCCAAGACCATCTCTCGCCACATCCTCTGCACCAGCCACCTCATCATGTAGCCATCCATGGCGTTCCCCATTGCCCTCCTCCTGTCTTCCTCGCTCACCCCTGGTGCTGCCGTCACGTTTTCTCCATATCCCATAGCCAGCTCCCTCTCTAATGCCGTCGGTTCCTCCCACCGTCCCCGCTTGTGGTCATATATCAGCCCGGGTCCGGGCTCCCCCTTTTCCCACCTGTAGCCTGCTGCCTCTGCAAAAGCGACCAAGGTGGGCAGAGCCCTCCTGTCCTGCCCCACCTGGTTGCACGGGTAGTGCCTGCTGTAACTTCTTTGACAGACTGGCGCGGGAGTCCGTCCCGGCTCCAGGATGTCCACCACCCTCCTCCCTGTAGCCCTCCTCATCCCCTCTGCTTCCTCCTGCAGATCCAGCACAGGAACCACGTTTTGCCAGTACATCCTGAGGCGGTGAGCGTACGACCCTGCCCTGGCTGCATCACAGCTCATCCCTTTTCCCACGTGCCGGCCAATCCTCTCCCTCACCAGCCGAATCGGCTCTCTACAATCCCCTTCTAGATCCAGGTTCTCCAGCAAGTAGGCCACTCTGCCCTGCCTCTCCTGCAGCCACTCCAGGATATCGAACAGGTTGTCCATCAGCTTCGTCCTCGGGTCCTCCCCTCCCTTCCCTTTTCCCGCCCATGACACCCCTTGACACTCCCATCCTGCCACCAGCAGGTCCACCTGCCCCCAGCTGGCCACCTGCTCCTCTGTGATCTGACTCACATCGTGCACCGTACTGCTCATGGCTTCCTGAATTACTTTCTCACTCAGGAGATCCGGGAACTCAGCTCTCAGCTTCCGCGCGTGATGCTCAGCCATCCTTCTCACCTGTGGTGCCAGTTCCACATAGACCCACTGCTGCACAGCAATCTCACTCCTCACTGCTGGCGCCAGCCCTGCCCCGATTCCTCCGAACAACTCTACTAGCCGGATGGGCTGCTGCCAATCGCTATACTGCCCCGGCTTGTCCATTAGTTTCATCCTGGGCCCCTCCCTGGTCTCTGCTGCTCCTCTCTGCCCCCTTTGTGCCCCTCCTGCTCCGACCTGATAGGCCCGCTTCGGCTCCACCCTTACAAACTGCACTGGCAGCTGTCCCAATGGTCCCTCCTTCTTCCAGTATCTCGTTCGGAACTCCACCTTCTCCATCCAGGTACATATGCTCATGCCTACAGCGAACACCAACTCCGTCCCCATCAGAAGATCAAAGTCCTCGGACTCTGAGATTCCGCACTTCATCCTAATCCTTGTTTCATGCTCCCCTCCTGGCAGCAGTGTCAACTCTATGGGGGTCCGGGTGCACGGCATCCACTTTGGTTCCCCTCCCTCCGCTGTCATGACTAACATCCCCTTCGCCACGTGCCTCTCAGGGGCCATCAGCCCCAACCGTTCGGCCATCCCTTTACCCAGCATCACGCTCTGTGCTCCTGTGTCAATGATCGCCGTCTTTACCTTCACCCCCCCCACTTCCACCGCTCCTGCTTCCACGAGCAGCACCGAGGTCTGGCACGCGAGTCTTTCCTGCGGGTGGCGGGCTGGGGCCTTCTCTCCTCCTGGCGCGTCTGGCCTGGACCCCTGCTCACGTGGCTTCCGGCTATGCTCCTGCCTGCCATCCTTCCCCCCGCTACGCAACCCCATCTGTTCCCTGCCTCTCCAGGCCATGAGGGCACACTGCACGTCCGGCTCCACCCCTTCTCCCTCCTCGTCCCTGGCGTACATCCCCGCCTCTGCTCCCCACCCTGACCCCATGGCCTGCAGTTGAGACTGCAGCCTGCTGATCTGCCGCTGCAGCTCCTCTGGTTTCCTCCTTGTCCCTCCCTCCCGCTGGTAACACTCCTTGGCCTCGTGCCCCCTCTTCCCGCAGATTTCACACTTCGCCGCATCCGGGCATTCTCGTTTCCGGTGCCCAGGCTTCCCACATCCATCACAGTTTTTGCACTCTCTGCGGAGGTGCCCCATCTGTCCACACCGGTAGCAGGTGCGCGCGTCGGCTCTCTCTTCCCCGTGTGGGTCCACCCTCCCTCGCTCCTCTGGTATCATGGCCGCCGCCCATGTCGGTCTGCGGCTCTTCTCTGTCGGCCTCGGCAGGTAGACCTCATACCTCCTTTGTGCCAGCTCCACCCTTTCCGCCAGGTCAAACACCTCCTCTAGTGCCGCATCCGCCCCTAACTCGTACACCTTCATCCTCAGTCCTCCCCCCAGTGTCTCGTCCAGGCCTCCAAGAAACTTACTGATGAGGAGGCTGCTGTCCGAGCATTTCACATCCTCTGCCAAGTTTATCAGTCGGTTATAGTAGGTCAGTAGGGATTCTGTTCGTCCCCTCCTGAACTCCTGGAACTCCCTTACACGCTCCGCCGTGTGTCCCGGGAATTGACGCTGAAGCCGCTCCAGAAATGCCTCGGTGGGATCCTCCCCGTACCTCCCTGCCCTCCACAGCAGCTCGTCCATCCTCATGCGGTACAGGGTCTCCGCCTCTCCCTCCAGAGTGTTGGGCAGGCTCAAGAAGAAGTCTACTGGGTCCATGCCTTGCCTGTCACAGCGGTATCTCACGTTCCCCACCTGCATCAAGTAATTCTTGAGGGCCGGCCCCACCCTTTGGTCCCCCGAGAACCTCGCCGGCACTTCCACCCGTGTCGCGCTGGCTGTACTTCCCCACCCTTCTCCCCGTGATCCCCTGGCCCCTCCTAGCCGCTCTTCCCCAATCCTTCTCTCCATGGCCCTTTCCATGCCTTCCCTGGCCTCTCGGGCCCGCTCAGCGCCATATGCTAAGCTCCCCCCTCCAGCTCTGCTCTCCCGCCGATTCCAGCCCGAGTCCCCGTGCCTTTCTCTCGGGCCCCTCTCCTCCCACGCACGCCCTCGTGTTCGTGCCGGCGAGACTCGTGTCTCTCTCCATCTCACCGTGCTCGTCTCTCGCTGCCGCTGCTTCTCTGGCGACGGTTCCCATGCTTCTCCCCTTCCTTGCTGCCGACGATCTCCGGGCAAGCGCCAGTCTCCGCCGCCTCCTCTTCCCCGCTGCTGCCGGGCGAGAGGCGAGCGGAACCCGCTGCTCACTCTCCCTTCCCATTGCGCTTGCGGGCTTGACGTCCGTGCCTCCCCGCCGCGCCCTTCATGCCGCTGGTCGCGCATCTCTGATGAGCTGGGCCCCTCCTCGCGTCCTTCTTCTCGCCGCCAGTGGTGGCTGGCTGCGCGTGGCTCGCCCTCCCATCCTCCCTTGTGCATCAGCTGCCTGTCCGGCGATCGTTCGCCGTCTTCGCCTCGGCCCCTTTGAGCCTGGTGCCAGTCGCGTGCGTGGGGGTCAACAGAAGGCCGCTCCCGGCGCCGCGATCCTTCCCCTGACGCGCGCGGTCCCTCTTCCTCCCTTTTGCCGCGTTCTCCTTGCGTCCCCACAGCGCCGGCATGCACGCCCCAATCCCGCCGCTCCTGCTGACGTGACCTCTCCGCGTAATGCTCCTCCTGGCGGCTTGCGTCGTGGTCGCGTGATTCCGACCGTCCCGACCGCGATCCTTCCGCCCCTGCCTGGCTTGCGCCCCCGGCAACGTCCGCCTCTTTCGGCTCGGCGTCTCCGATCCCAGCCGCGGGTTCCTCGCCGTCGTCTTCTCCGTCGGCGTCTTCGACCGCCCGTTCCAGGTTCCTTGCGTACTCCTTTGCCGCTTCCTCTTCTGCGGCCTCCTCTCCTTGGTTGGCGTCGAATCGCTCGACGCCCGGCCAACGGCCCCTCTCGTCACGGCGGCGCCCGTGCTCTTCCGGCGAGCGGAACACTCCCACAGCGCGTCGGTCTCCGCTCCCGTATCCACCTCGGCGATCATGCCCTCTTCGCCACACGTCGCCGTCCGCGCTTGCGGCGTCTCCTTCCCCACCCGCTGCCACGCTAGGCCTCCCTTCCGCCCGTCGGTCCCCATCGACGGGGACTCTATCTGCGCGAAATGCCGGCCTTCGCGGCGAGCGCTCCAGAGATCGCCCGCGCTCGCGTGACGGCTCACCTCGTGCTCGTTCCTCCTCCCGGCGACTAAACACCCTACCCCAACGTAGCTCATATTTATCCATGCCTGACTCGATGCCTATTGTTCGGTATGAACGAGATCTCTCTCTCACCCCACCGGTTCCTTCTTAGTGCTGTGCCACCGCGTGTAGTAGCTAGGATAGCCGCTCTGCACTAGTATGAAAGAATACCGAACAATAGGCATCGAGTGAGTGGGCGTGGGTGACCTTACCCAACCTCGGCTTGCACATTTCCAATGTGCGGCTCGAGGTTGGGATTTGTTCGAATCCCACATTTCGCCCTTCGGTGCTTTTCCCCCTTCATCCCAACCGCTCCCACATATTTCCCCCTTTCTGCACCCCTTTGCAACCGACACTTCGCTATTGGCTACACCTCCTACACTACTTCTTATCTATCTACCTCAATGCATTCTTAGCTATTTGCTATACTACTTCACAGCACCGCACTCTACTGTTATTGCATATGCATCCCTTGCATATGCGGTGACACAGAACACGACGAGAGGAGGGGTGGTAAAACTGCCACCCTGGGGCGTCAGTGGGGAAGCCAAGGAAGACACAGGGAGCAGCACGAGGGGACAGCTTGTCCGCAGACAAGTCGCGGACAAACGCCCGAGATCCCCAGACACGGAACGCAGACGCGTCGCCAACCTTCCTCGTCCACAGCAAGGCTGGGGACATCGCAGGCCTAGAGACCCCGGGGTGAAGGTTGAGCTGATGCGCCGCGTACCTCACCGCAAACGGCCACTGAAAATGGGGGGCAGCCGCATGCATCATGGACGTACGAGCGACATCCATGACCATGCCAATGCGGCGCTCAGCAATCCCATTTTGCTGTGGAGAGTCCGGAAGCGTGAAGGTCTGGCGGATCCCCCGTGCACGACAGTAGTCTCGCAGAAGGCGAGAGGAGAACTCTCCGCCTCTGTCCGAGTGCAGACGCAGAACAGGAAAGTCCGAGCCGAAGCTCTACCTGAGCTGGAGACGAGCCTCGCGGATCCAATCGATCAGCACCTCAGTGACCGCACCCTTGCTGCGCAAGGGGAGGACTGTGGTGTAACGCGAGTAGTCGTCAACCACCAACAGGAAGTAGCGCTCGTTAACCTTCCCACGGACGGGGGCTGGGCCCCACACATCCATGTGAAGCGTCTGCAGGGGAGCCTCTGTCGGGGGGAAGTGGGAGGAGTGAGGAGTAGCCCGGAGGCGACCCTCGACACAGGGGACACAGGAAGGTCCTGGCCCGGAGGGGAGAGGAGGGAGAGACTGGGGAAGACCAGAGACAAGGACACGGGAAGCCATGCTCCGAAGACGGGGCAAGGAGGGGTGGCCAAGACGGTGGTGCCACAGGAGAGTCTCGTGAGACAGGAGACGACAAGAACAGGGGGCAGACTCAGGACCTGACCGGGACGCAGCAGCAAGCACCTGATCTGACGCAGCTACCTGACCGGACGCAGGGACAGGAGGAGACGAAGTGGTCAGGGTGTAGAGACTCAACCCCGGCCAACGCGAGAAGGTGGCCAGGTGTCGGCCTGTGCGTGCGTCCGTGCAGTGGGTCACCCGCTGACTCGCAGGAGTGAACTGGTGAACCCCCGCATCCTGCAGGGCTGCACCACTCACCAAGTTCGTAGAGAACGAGGGAAGATACAGACCAGACAGGGTGCCCGAAGGGGCAGCCGGACACGGGAGGACAGTGGAGAAGTGGGACAGGACAGGACCCCCGGAGGGGTCAGCACGGGAGACCGCAACCGGCCGGCCAAGCGGCGTAAGGGTAGTGCGGTCTCGAAAGAAGGGGCGAGAAGCCCCGGAGTCAAGTGTGAAAGTGAGGGAGGACGAGGGCGACTCAGTACCTGAGAGCGCAGTCTCACCAGTACCTGAGAGCGCAGACGCACTGGCACCTAGAGCAGCAGCCTCACAAGCACCTAGCGCAGCAGTACCAATGCCCGGGTCGGGCTGGAAACACCAGTAACCCTCATTCTCCTCACTATAAGTCACAGCATACATAGCAGCAAGGATAGCATCAAAATCAAGATCAAAGATTGCTACACCAGCCCTAAGAAGCTCATCCCAGCGAGGGATCTCACTAGCCCCGGGGAACTGCTGACGCCAAGCGTCCGTCAGGCGGCCAAAGCAGCGCTGAGTGGAGTGGGCACCCCCACACTGCTCACCCGCGCGGTCGCCGGAACGAAGAACGTAGGTGCAGGGACCAGTACCCCCACCCCTCTGACGCCCAGCGTACCACTCACGAAGCTGCTGAGGCGGAGGGATGTCCCGCGAGCGCTGCTGCTGCTGCCGCTGCGAGCGCTGGCCACCACCACCGCCGCTACGCTGCTGGGTACCACCCCGACCAGCTCCGCCCCCTCCACCACCACCGCCTCCTCCGCTGCTGACTCCACCGCCTCCACCTCCGCCGCCTCCACCTCCGCCGCTGCCACCTCCACCACCGCTGCCACCACCACCACCGTCTCCGCCGCTGCTGCCACCACCACCACCACCACCGCCACTACTCCCGCCGCCACCCCCACTCCCTCCGCCGCCTCCGCCGCCACCGCCACCGCCCCCTCCAGCTCCACCCGCGCCCTTGCCCCCCTTGCCCTTGCTAGAGCGACGTATCCCACTAGGGGCAGACGCCGCGCCGACCGACTCAAGACCAAGCAGGTCGGCAGCAGCAGCAGAGGCAACAGAGGGCAGCAAGAGGGAAGGAGAGCACCCCTCAAAGATGGGGGTGCGAGGGTCACCACGAGAGGCACCTACAGCGACTATGCTCTTCTCCGCTGCGAGGAGGGCCTTCTCGAGGAGGTCGACGGTGAAGGTGGTGGGACAGACTGCGAGAAAGTGGTCCCTGAGTACGCGAAGGGAGTCAGGGAGGTGCGCGACTACGTAGTAGAGAGTGATGTACATGGGGGGGGGGGTTCTTAGCGCAGAACTCAGCAGGAAGGGCGGCGCGGTAGCGAGTGTCACTAGTGCGGAGGTGCATAATGAGGTCAGCGACAGTGGGAAAGGCAGAGAGGTCAGGAAAGAGGTAGGGAAGCAGGAGACAGCTCAGTGCAGCAGTGGCAGGGGAGGAGTAGCGCGCAACTACAGCGTCGTACAAGGTCTGAGCACTCTTGTACTGACTAAAGTGCGCACGCTCAGAGGTAGGGAGGTGGCGATGCACAGCAAGACGTGCAGCAGCATCGCAGGTGGCCCACTGAGAGCGGACAGTGGGATCAGCATCCGCAGCAGGAGCAGGAGAGGCGCCAGAGGTCAGGTCAAAGAGAGAAAGGCCGTCAGCTCTGTCGCACTGTAAGAACAGCTGCAGGTCGTCTAACCAGACCTCAAAATCAATGGCGCGACCCTCAGCGTCAAAAGCTAGGACACTAGGGGTAGCCATGGCGACGACAGCGAAGCAGTGCAAGCAGTAGGGGAAGAGCACGCAGTGATAGTGGGACTGTGCTCACCAGGCAGGGCAGGTCGTGCAGCTCTGCAGAAAGGCGGCTCGGCGACCGGGCAGCTCGGGCGCAGGGCGGCTCGGCTCCCGGGCGGCTCGGCGGCAGGGCGGCTCGGGTGCAGGGCAGCTCGGCTCCCGGGCGGCTCGGCGGCAGGGCGGCTCGGGTGCAGGGCGGCTCGGCTCCCGGGCGGCTCGGCGACGACAGGGCCGGGGAAGGGCCGGGGCGGGGCCGCGACAGAGCCGGCGGCGGGGCCGCGTGAGAGCCGGCGACGGGGCCGCGTAAGGGCCGGGGCGGGGCCGCGACAGGGCCGCGTGAGAACCGGCGACAGGGCCGCGACAGAGCCGGCGGCGGGGCCCTGTCAGAGAGGGCGGCGGGGCCGCGTCAGTGGAGGTGGCGGGGCCGCAGGGGAAATGGCGACCCGAGGGGTCGCTAAAAAAAAAATCGCGCCTCGGGGCGCGCTTCGATGGGCCAAAAAAAAAACGGTCCGTAGAAGGACCCGCTCTATACCATGTGAGAATAAGCGAACAGGAATGATGAACTAGCGGTGAAAATGAGTACAAGTAGTGAACCCTAGAATTGTGTACCCCCTATAGGCTAACCCACTGTAGCCTACACAAGCATAACATATATAATGTTTGACAGGAAATATATTCATCTAGTGAACGTAAGGGTTTGAAAGGTAACTAACGCAGATATGTAGAGAAAATAGTGCATCGGCCAGTTTGGCCGGCATTTCGCACTCATAATGCAGGTGGGGCCAGGGAGAACGGAAACGCTCGTTTCTCAAAAAAGTAGAGGGAATCTAACGGTCTCACTCGATCAAAAGGCGGGAAATATATAAATCTAGTCAGCTAAAAAGGTTTGAAATGTATTCAACGCACATGTATAGAGAAAATTGTGCATTGGCCAGGTCGGTCAGTATCAGAACTTAAAATGCAAATGCCAGGGAGAACGGAAGCGCTCAGATCTCGCATAGTACACGGAATCAAGTGGTCTCACTCAAATAGAAACTAGGAAATATATTCATCTAGTGAACGTAAGGGTTTGAAAGGTAACTAATGCACCTGTGTAGAGAAAATTGTGCATCGGCCAGTCTGGCCGGCATTTCGCACTTATAGTGCAACTTGGGCCAAGGAGAACGGAAGCGCTCATTTCTCAAAAAGTAGAGGGAATCTAGCGGTCTCACTCGATCACAAGGTGGGAAATATAAAAATCTAGTGAGCTAATAAGGTTCGAAAGGAATCTAATGCATATGTATATGGAAAATGGTGCATTCGCCAGGTGGGTCAGTATGGGAACTTAGAGTGCAAATGCCAGGGAGAACGGAAGCGCTCAGATCTCGCATAGTACACGGAATCTAGTGGTCTCACTCAAATAGAAGGTAGGAAATATATTCATCTAGTGAACGTAAGGGTTTGAAAGGTAACTAACGCACACGTGTAGAGAAAATGGTGCATCGGCCAGTCTGGCCGGCATTTCGCACTTATAGTGCAAGTAGGGCCAAGGAGAACGGAAACGCTCATTTCTCAAAAAGTAAAGGGAATCTAG